TCGCCCGGCCCGCTACAGCCAGGCTGCGCCTGGTCCTGGGAGCGCTGCGGGGGCCGGGGCTGGTTCATCTCCGCCTCTTCCTCCCAAAGCAGGCGCTGACAGCTGGTTTGCCCCGCAGATTTGCTGCCTGCCAAGAATGGCGAGGAGCAGACCATGCAGTTCCTGCTGGAGGTGGTGGACATCCTCCTCAACTACGTGAGGAAGACGTTTGACAGATCCACCAAAGTGCTGGACTTCCACCACCCACACCAGCTCCTGGAGGGCATGGAGGGCTTCAACCTGGAGCTCTCGGACAACCCCGAGTCCCTGGAGCAGATCCTGGTGGACTGCCGGGACACGCTGAAATACGGAGTGAGGACAGGTAGGTTCTCGCACACTACTTTGTGGAGTCCCTCCTGGGGCTTTTCTCTGGCCCATGGTGAAGAGAGTGGGCCTGAGCCCACGGAGGTGAGCCCACGGAGGTGAGCCCACACCCTCGACTCTGCCTCCCTGGAGGCTCGGCTCCAGGGCTGCCCGCGGGCGCTGGGAATGTCTCCACTCAGAAACTTCAGTTTCCTGCTCCATCCGTCCCCGGCGGGTAGGGCTCGGTGCTGTTTGCAAACCCCAGAAACAAGTTTTTAAGGCGTAATCTCTTTCACTTGATGAAATGCGAGCTGTCTGCATCTCCGGGGAGCAATATCATTAGGTAAATGAGGGCATAAATGACACCGAATTTGCAGTTTTTCTTCTTTATGTTCATCAGACGTTTAATGAAAAAGAGACTGAAATCCTAGGAATCGTCAATAAAGGAACCCTGCGGATTTCAGCCCATTACCCAGGAGCCCCGCCTGTCCGGGTCCTTCTGAATCAGATAAAAATGCCCGTTTCTAATCACTTCTTTTACCGGGTGAGCTGTAGCCAGGCTCCAGAGCAAAGTCTGTGCTCTTTTCAGGCCGTTCGGCCTGAGATGTTTTACATCTGTATCAGCAGAAAGCTGGGCTGGCAGCGAGCCCTGGCTGCTGTGCGTTACCCGAGCAGGGCAGGAACCGAAGCGGTGGCGGAGCGGGGGCCGTGCCTTCCCCGCTCCTGCTCCAGCGTTCCAGGGCCGCCGGGCTCGGCTCGGCTCGGCTCGCTCCGCGGCGGGCAATGGCTCCTGAAGGACCGGGCGCTGCTTTCTCCACTGTTTGGTTATTGCAGCTGTGGAAAAAACAGCGCCGCGCATTCAGGGAACACAATCTTGGCAACTAATGTGGCGGTTAGCTTCCTGTCTTTTCCCATTTACGTGGTGGTTTGATTTATTCAAGAGCGTCCGGGGCATATTGTGATTTTGTGCCCTTAATCAGAGGGGAGCCTGTTTCGCTCCCAAGCCCGTGGGCTGCTGATCAGGTGGCCAGCTGCAAAGCCGGAGTCACTGCGGTCTGCGTGCTTGCACCGTGATCCCGGTACGGATTGCACCGGGATGTCGAGCAAGTTCTTCCCCTCACCCCGACCTCCCCGGGGGCGTTTGAGGTACCGGCAGCGCCTGACCCCGGGAGCTGAGGTGCAGATCAGGCACAAGCTTTGCTTGAAGCGGTACCTGATGCAGCTTTACAGAAGAGCTGCTGGGGCCGTGTGGCACACGCCCCGGCTTCCCGGGCTCCCGTTCTCTCCCCAGGCCAAGCTCCCTTTAAAGCCAGCGGGGCTGAATCTGTAGCCCAGCCTCAGGAGGACGCAGCCTCGCTGACAGCTTTGGGCGGTCAGCGAAATCTCTCTTAAAATAACTCCCCAGAACCGTGTGTCGCGGCAAGGGAGAGAAGTGCTGACTTGCAAAGCAAATAGCTAAGCCGTGGTGGTGTTTCTGGGCTTGGGCCCGGAGCCGCTTGGCTCCCCGGGGCGGGAGCAGCTCGGTCGCTTGGCCTCCGTGTTCCCCCAATTTCCGCGGCAGCCTCCTGATGGGGATGTGCCGGGCCGTGGCTGCGCCGGCAGGCTCCCGCCTCCGAAAGGCTCCCGCTGGCATCCCTCGGGGCAGAACCGCATTTATTTCTTCACGTCAAAAGACTCTGATGTCCCCAGCGTTGAGCCAAATGCGATGCGACAGGGTCCCTCCGGGCGCTGAGCCCCCCTCCCGGGCCGGGCTGTCCCCCGTGTGTCATCTGCGTGTCCTTTCCCAAGACAGCAGAGATAAGGGCTAAGTCATGACACCTTCCCCCTCCCCTCAAAGCCGTCATCGTTTGTCAGGAATTTCATCTCTTCGTGCTAAGAAGTGGACCCCCAGAAGTCGGGCTTACTGCTCATAGAAGCTGTTAAAGCAACTTCGGCTGAAATACAGGAATACGGTTGACTTCGGGTCGGTAGCAAAGGCTTAGCCGATGAGGCGAACCCTAGCTTTTACACCGGGGGCGGGGGGGCGACTGCCCGTGCCGAGGGGCCCTCGGAGCCGCTGATGGCCCCGCTCCCACCCTTACCCCTAGGGCCGCGTTAGGAGCGGGCGAGCCTCCATTCAAATGCAAACGGCACCGGCACCTGCGGATTGTTACTGCCAAGTGCCACCCCCTCCCACCCCCCGAGTTCACAGCAGGGCGGATTTCGGGAGGGAGCCTCTGGAGATGGGCTTAGCCCGAGGTCTTGCACAGGCTCCGGGGGTGGTTGGCAGGCTCAGCGGGCCCGGAGGTCCCGTCTTCTAATTCTAACGCTATGATTCCCCACAGGAGCTCCCTCCAAAGCGTTTTTTCAAGTTTGTAACAAGGCATCCGGGAATGTTGGTTAGCGATCTCCCCGTAAGCAGGACTTGCTTTGACAGCTTCGCTGCAGGTGTGTTACGAGGGCAGAACTATGGCTTGCGTCAGAACAGTTGGACAGTTTGAAATTGAAACCTGAGAGATGCCAGTGGAGTTGTTCTAAGTCGCTCTCAATTCTCTTTCCAGGTCATCCTCGCTTTTTCAATCAGCTGTCCACAGGACTGGACATTATTGGCTTGGCTGGGGAGTGGCTGACGTCGACTGCTAATACAAACATGTAAGCAGCGTCTTGTCGTCAGCGTCTGGGGCTGGTGCTTGCAGGGGCTGCCACCTATCATGGCAGACATGTATTGTCACAGACGTGTATGATTTTCTTCTTTAAATGACGATTGCCGCTTCTTCAATAAAAGCGTCTTGTATTTTTCTCAATGTGGCAGTAACAGTGAAAATGGTTGTATAAAGCTGAACAGTTTTACATTTCTGAGAAATAGAAATGCAAATATCCCAGAGCACATGGTAAGTAAAACATGATGATTCTAATACAGTAACGTGAGATGACTTTTCTTCTTTTGGAACAGCTTTCTTTATCTTTCCCCCCCCTTTATTTTTTTAAGCTTTGTCTCTTGGTTGAGTAATTCTGCAGCAATCCATATATTAACACTAGAATACAGAATACCTAAGAGTTTGTTGTCTTTTCTCCTGTTGACTTCAGAGGTAGCAGGCTTGGGGTACTGCCTTTGCCTGTTCATGTGCTGGTGAAGTGGCTTCTGGGTGGCTTCAAAATGGTTAAAAATATAACACTGAAAATTAATGATAATGAAGGAATTAGCCTAAGATTTATTAAAGTTGTATGTAAGTAAATAAATGGAAGTATAAAAAAGCAAAATTTTACCTCTAGAACATAACAGTGAGGAAAGTTTTACTAATTTTTCTTGACCTCAAAATTAACGAAAGCTACATGTAAATGTAATATTAAATTTTTGCAACAAGGAGCATAATTAATGAAAAAACCCCACCAAACAACAAAAAAACCCTTCTACCCAGTTTTTATTTATATATTGATTTGTATACAATCAAAAATGTGATGGTAGTCCAACTACTTGGTAGGTCATAGACTGCTCTGTTTTAGTCCTGTACTGGATGTGTTTCAACTCTAAAGCTACCTCTGTTTTGGGTAGTTTGTTGCTAATTGGCAGAACACAGGAAATGTATTTGCAGATTGGAAAATGAACAGTATTGCACTGGCCCATCCATGAGTATATGGTTCATTAAGTATAACTGATTACTAGCAGCTCTATGCGGATTATGAGCTGTGCCTGTTTTGTGACATGAGCAATCAAGAAAAATATATAAGGTGCTCCAGCCAAAACCAGCCTGCTCTTTGTAGTAATCGTCTTCTCAATTAGTTATCTGTTTGCTGAAAATTGGTATGAGACATTCAGATTTAAAAGCTGATTGGGAAGAAACCCAGCAACATGTATTTTAATCATAAAACAAGTATTGCAAAGTGCTTTAAAGTGCATTTTTTACACCATAATTAAAAGTGAAAATAAATCCGATTACATTTCTAAAAGAAAACTTTGCTTAAATATTTTTCTTCTGTGACAAAAGCATACTTCAGAGAGTGTCACTTTTTGAAAGCCCCTTTTCCTTTGACTAACAATTGTTCTAGCTTAGTTATCCTTCTGTAATCAGTGAAATTGCACAAATCTGATAGGACATAATAGAATTCAGCTCTGTGCAGACTCTGATAGTATTATGAAATATTGCCATCAATATTAAGAACATCACACTTCTGAAAGAGTAACTCCTCTTTAAATGAGGTTGGGTTTAAAAGTAAATTGTTAAATAGCTAGTTCTGTTAAGCTAGTTTCTGATCTGTTTATACTTTAAAGATGAAGATATCTTGAAAATACTTCTCTGTGGGCATGAAAATTGATTATCTAGCTGCTTGGATGAGGTTTAGCAAATGCAAAATAATACATTGCTCTCTTTTTTTTTCAGCAAACCAAGGTCAACATGATATGCTTTCAAATAACACAGTAATTGCAAGTAAGGTTAAAGCAAGATGCTTGTAAAACATGATTCAAAGGACTGACAGAGAAGGTTATTAAAAATAGCCACATCGTCTCTGTGAGCTCTGGGGAACGTATTATTTGTTTTGAGCAGTGTTCCAGCATAGAAGAGCAAGTTCTGACCTTTACCTAGACACTGTTCTAACCTACTTCAGCATGTAACACACAAGCAACAGTAATATGGTAGGGAATATTTTCCATTTGCCATTTTTTCTTTCCCACCTATAAACAGTACTTAAAATATCTGTGAACAATTGAAAAATATGTGTTTCACAAACAAGTGAAGGAACACCTGTACTCTCTTAAAATTTTAAATTGTCATTAGGAAATGTTACTTAAATGTCCTGTGAAGAAAATATATTAAATTAAACATCATAAGCTTCCCACCTTGACTTTGAAATAGTGTATCAATGTGCTATTCATAGCTCAATCACTAATCATAAGACCTTCAGGTTGGAAATTTCAGAAGTTGCTGTTATTCATCCAGCTCTAGGGATCTGTAGTGCAAGGCATTTGCTCACCATGCAGCAGCCAGTTGAGGTTAGAAAGCAATATTATCTGGAAGTTCTCTTCATGCCCACTGTTAGCTGAGCCGAGAGCATACATTATGCATTTATGCTTATGAAAATGTAGCACAGAAAAATGATGTGAAATGCTTTATTTGCAGAATGCTTTTTACATACTGGAAAACCCGAGAGCAGGTAGCTAGGATGATTTGGCCAGATAAAATGATTTGGCCTTTAGATGAGAGCAGAATTAAGCCAGCACTGGCTGCTACCAAAACCCCATTCATCTATTCTGTTAGTAAAGAGCTGAGACTCATGACTGTTTTAATTAATTCATAGAAATACCTGTAAAGATTGTAACTGTATGAAAAATCTAATCAGCATTTTTTGTCAGGGGATTGGTTCTGAAGTCAGACAGTTCCTTCCATGCCAAACACATTTTCTGTTTTTAACTGAATTTTTCAAAATCATTTAAGTTTAAAACAAGTAAGTTGCAGTGAACTTTAGCAAGATGTGGTTTTTAAAAAAATTATAGCCATCAGCTGATACAGCTGCATTGGCCTTATCATTTATAATCATCCGCAGTCATCTTTTATTTCTTTGACAGTCTTTGGAGAATCAGAAAATAATTACATGATAAAATAAATAAGCACTATTTGACTTGGGTTTAAGTATATTCAAAATTCCCCATGTGAACACTTGGTATTTTATATACGTAATGTATTTTTTGTACAAGCCTTTAAGTCTTCTGGGAAGTATGTAGGGATCAGTGTGCAAGGCTACAGTGATCTAGACGCCACCGAGTTCCTGCTGACTTCAGTTGGTCATTCTGCCTAAATAAAGATTGGAATATATCCTAGACTTGCAGTGCTTAAAAACAAAACAAAAAAACCCCCCACTGTTAGCAGACACCAACTGGTTTATTAATTTTGTCTCTCTGTAAATATTGGCAGCACCCAAACTTCAGATCAGTGTTCAACTGTCTGTCTCTGACAGTTCTAATGATAATAAAAGCAAAATAAGCAGTATTTTGGCTTCTGAAAACAGCAATTACAACAAACAAACAAATTACAAATACTGTTTAATCTTAAAGGACTGTTTTAAAAATGGTGGTGGTGTTTCTCTGATGGGCTAAGGAAACGTAAGGATTGAAGAAAAAATTAATATTTTAACTAATCAGTGTAGCTGTAAATAAAAGACAAGCTTTTCAGACACACATTCCTTTCTTCATATCACATGTCTCCTTAAAGTTTGCCGTACCTGTTTTCAAAATGTCATTTTAGTATTAGAGGGACAGCACATGTTTTGGCAAGATTATTCAAGTGAAAGACATCAGTCAGATGCAAAGTGTCAGGCTGTCATATTCTTATAGATTCCTTTGGAAATCACAGGTTGTTTAGTTTCTCTCTGCTTCTTTTTTTCTTCCTCCTTTTTTTACACTATGTTTTGGCACACACAGCAAGCAGAGTTTGTTTACAGCAGTACCAATTTATCCATGTACCTTGATCACCAAAGATGGTTGTATGGCTGTCACTTTCCATCCACGTGTCTGGCTGTGACATCAGGGCATACCAGACTATGCAATGGTTTTTGCCCTCATTAAGTGGATACAATAGTTGACTGCTGACTTGGTTTTGGTAATTGGTAATTAGAAAATCATCATTTATAATTACTCTTGACAGTTATTGATTGCATGGTATTGTAGAAATAAGTTGTCCTTGGAGATCATCAACAGAATAAATCCACATAATTAATTGTATTTAGACTTTGAAGCCCTAGCTCAATACTTCTAATTACGGTCGTGTTTAGCTCAGTGAAGTTCACTGTTTTCATAAGGATTTGGCAATATGTTATTCCACAAGTGTGAAATTGGCCTGTTGGAAAATAAATGTTTAACAGTACAATCTTGTACAGCAGTCAGCAGCGTTATGGTGGTGAGCATTAGGTCTTATGTTGGTTATATATAAAGTGGCAAAAAGGCTAATACTGCAGTTTTTATCAACCAATATTTCCAGCATTGTCTTCCTGAGGATTTTTGCTTGGGTAAAGAATGCAATATCAGAGCCTCAATTTATAGATTTATAGGAAAACTTTTAGCAATCTGAAGCATTTTCACAAAGAATCATAGACTGGGAATTTATTGTGTGTTTTTATAATCTATATTGGATTTTGTTTGTTTGTTTTTTCTTTATCCATGCAGGTTTACCTATGAAATTGCCCCTGTTTTTGTCCTCATGGAACAAATAACACTTCGAAAGATGAGAGAGATTATTGGATGGTCAAATAAAGATGGCGATGGAATATTCTCACCTGGTGAGTTTTTCCTCTCTGTTTTGGTGGTTTGAATAAAACTTCAAAAGTTAAAATAAACATAAGTCGTGTCTGAATGCCCACAATATCTGCAACACAAAACAATGTGTCAGATATTTAGAAGTAGGAATGCTTTCTTTAAACATCCCACAAAAAAGTTGTGAAAAAAAAAAATCTTTGAGTGTGGCTGCGTATCATGACTGGTCAACACTTTAAAACTTGACTACAAGCTCTGGTATATAGTCAGGCACTTAAACACCCTTTTTTTTGCACTTAATTTCTGAATGTGCTAAGCATGCTGACCAATAGCTCTTGAGAACTGTGTGCTGACTTCTTTGATGGGCAGTGAGGATTTGGGTTTGCAGTCAAAAAGAGACTGTGACTGCCTGTCACTTTATGGGACATAATCTGACTGGATTCACAAGTATAATTCCAGCATGAAGACCAAGACAAAGTGTCTTCCCATGAAGGTGACATAAAGGCAGTCAGCAGTGACAGAAAAGACTGATAAACCATGTGGAGGTCCTGGTCCCATGTGTGGACAACATGGGTGCCCAGCAGAACACCAGATTTCTGGGCTTGGTGTGGGGGGATGCCATCCTGTTTCAGAGGAGGAAGAACAACTCCACCTCCTTTTGTACCAGCCCACATAAAATCTGGGAATGCATGCTTGCTTAGTCTCCAGTCCTATCTGCTAGAAAAATACAGATATTTCTCAGTGTTCTTGTTGATGAAGAAATATTAGAGGAATAAATTATCCTAGACTTTATGGATGAGATTCAAATTACTAAATCTCGAGGTTTGCATCATAGAACTGAGCTAATTGTCCTGGGCTGTTTTTAGCAGTAAACCAAGAGAAATAGGAGCTTTCCCTCAATTCACATTCTTCAAAAATAAGCGTCATAATAGATTAGTTGAGTCATAGCCTGCAAAGTGCCTCTT